GGCCTCTAATCATTAGGCCACGGGGAAGTCGTGGCCTAATGGTTAGAGAGTCGGACTCGTAACCCAAAGGTTGCGGGTTCGAGTCTCGTACCGGCAGGGATTGTAGGTGGGGGGAGTGAATGTACCGCGCTCTCTCCCACCTTCAATACCATGACTGAGGTGCCCTTGAGCAAGGCACTGAACCGCAGCAAAAAAATTGGCTGCCCACTGCTCCGGGAGTGTGTTCACTGCTGTGTGTGTGCACTTTGGATGGGATAAATGCAGAGCACTAATTCCGAGTATGGGTCACCATACTTGGCCACATGTCACGTCACTTTCACTTTCATTACAAGTAGTCTTGACCAAAGAGAGAAAATTTTTTTTTGTATCTGTCCCGCTCATTTTAAACATAAAATATGTGGGTCAAATTAACCCCTAACACAATAGAAGGAACACAATAGAAATTGATGGGAATGATTCAATCTCTCACATATTTTATATTTGTTTGTCTCTGAAAAGCTACAATAGGTGTTGTACCCAGTTTTTTGGCCACAACAGGAGAGTTAAAAAGCTTTCTCCTATTCCAGCTTAACTGGCAGTACTAGCTCAACTAATCTTTCATTTACTCACCGTTCTGGTTCTCCAAGAACTCTGGGAAGTAAAAGAATTCTGGGATGAGCTCTTTGACGTCATTGGGATTGTCCATGAGGGTTTGCCAGGTAGCAGGAATAGAGTGAAACTGACGATCGGCACAGTCAAACCTGCCAGACAGTCAGACCAACTTTATTCATATAATGAAAAGGGGTTTTATGAGGATGTGGCAACCCTAAATATATTAAAATATGATGGACCCTTTTCACAAGACTGTGATGATGCGTCATCAGCATCGTAAATACTCGGAAGTTTTCATATTTGTATTTTTTCTTTTTAAATGTACACTACCGGTCTAAAGTTTGGGATCAGTAAGACTTGTAATGTTTTTAAAAGAAGTCTCTTATGCTCATCAAGGCTGCATTTATTTGATCAAAAATACAGAAAAAAACAGTAATCTTGCAAAATGTTATTACAATATAAAATAATGGTTTCTATTTTAATATCCTTTAAAATATAATTTATTCTTGCGATGCAAAGCTGAATTTCCATCAGCCATTACTCCAGTATATCCCAAACTTTTGACTGGTAGTGTACAGTATGTACATTTATAACACTATTCTGGGTATTATATTACCTTTGCATCAAAAAAACTAGTTTACGCTAATGCGCCGGTGTTTCTTATGCAGCGTCTATAGGAGGGACGGTAAATTTGACATCGTTCTCTCTTCTGACTGCCGGTATCAGTCTCTCTCAATTTTTTTTCCTTTTACTGAAAGTCATGAAAACACTATCGTTACTATTTGAGCAAATGGGAATGCAAAAAATATATTTGTGCTACTCTCCCATTCACTGCTCTTCAAGTTATCCCAACTATGACGACTTCCGCTGCTGAGAAACCCGGAAATGTGAGAAAGGCCCATTCTTATAGATTGAAACAAATGTGCTTCAGCCTGAAAAAAAGGGTATGAAAAGTGCTCAGAGTTTCTGCAGAAAACTAAAAAATGTAACAACAACAAAAACTGGAAATCAATCAGTCAAAAGCCAATCATAACAGAGACCATTTATTTGAAGAATTTGTAAAGGCACATTAGCAAAAACAGGCTGTTTAATTCTAAGGGACAGACCGTAAAAACTGTAATAATCCTGTAACGCTACAAAACATCTTAGAATATGAGGCCTTTATATGAATTTCACTTCAGTAACCTTTTCTTCTCAAAGCATGCAAAATAATTTGAGTGAATAATTTTATGAAAAATTGTGAGTTGGTTCATAAAAAGGGACACAAAAGAAAGTGAGGAAAGACAGTGAAACCGAATTTTAAGGCAAAAAGACATAAAACCAGACAAGCATTACCTGCCGCTCTGCAGCTGGATGTGCAGGGATGTGAAGGGTTCGACTCGAATGAGGTAATGCATGACTCCAGCGGCGTTCGAGTAGTGCGTGCCGTAGTGGAAACGGTCTATGGTGCCCGTGGGATCTTCAAAACTCTCATATCTGCAGAATAAGCATAATTTACAATCAGCTGCATTCACTGCCGACACTTCAAAACATTTGCTCTGTTCCTAAACCTTGTGAACTGCTTCACTGTTAAATAGGAAGCTACCTTCTAAGGGAACGCCTCAAAGTGGAACCTCATAAGTGACAGAGAACACCATACAAGACCAGTGTTTAAGTTTTAAAACTAAAATGATTAAAAATGGGCTTTGGTAACTGAAATAAAATAAAATAGATCTTAAAATAAAATTAAAAATGTTGCCTTGGCAACGAAATGAAATCATACTAAAATTACTAAAACTGAAATCAAAATAAATGAAAGCTAAATATTTAGAACTACTAAAAACAACAAAAGCACAAACAAAATTCTTAAACCTTAACATAAAAACACAAATATAAAATTGAAAACTGAAATCTAAAAAGCTAATCCAAAATATTAATAAAAAATTATAATAGTATATAAATAACTTTAAAATAATACATTAAGAGATTTGATGCTCAAAGATTATTCCAACAGTCTGAAGTTAGCATGTGGCCGAGCTAATGACCCAAACAAATACATTTCAAACACAAATAATGGACAAAATAATGTATTTTAATTAGTGCTTTCAAACGATTAATCGCGATTAATCGCATCCAAAATAAAAGTTTTTGTTTACATAATGTGTTTACTGTGTATATTTATTATGTATATATAAATACACATACATGCATGTATATATTTTAAAAAATATGTTACGTTTATATATTAAATATATTTATATATGATATTATTTATATGAATATAAATATATATATATATAAAACTTTTATTTTGGATGCGATTAATCGTTTGACAGCACAAATTTTAATCAGAGGTTAATGAAACTTTTCAGTGATGAACAAAGTTTGCTTATCAGTTACAAAACTCTTCATGTTCATCACAATGCATTCTGGGATTGTGTTACGTGTGACGGATGAATGCTACCGTATTTAGCCAATACAAGGTATTTTATAAAACTGAAATTTCACAGCCTACTATTTGGTAAATCCTTCAGAGGACTAAAAATGCTGCCTAGGTGTTGTTATAGTTAACTAAAACTTACTATACTAGCTATACTTTTTTTTTTCTGAACTGGAATAAAACCAAAAGGACTGAGAGAACGAGACAGAGACAGAAACACACTTCTCTCTGACGGCTTTGGCGTTCCTCTCGTTCAGCACGGCCACGGGTTTAGAGAGATCTCTGAACACCCGCGGATCGGACAGATCCAGCTCCTCGGACGTATAATCCGACAGGATCCAGGGGAACTACAATCAGCAGAGAAAGTCACATACTGTAAGATCATTCAGGAAGCGAATGAGCGCTGATGTGTGGCCACATTCAAACAGAGCTCAGAGCGGCTGTGTAAGTGTCACTCACCACAGGATACTGAGCCAGATCGTTATACGTCCGTCCTGCTATGGTGTTCAACTGCATCAGGTAGTCAAAGTTTGAGATCTCCCTGTTCATCCATTTCTGATGACAGAGAGAAGGAAAAGTCAGCTCTGAACCTTCAGTGATGTACTATATGAAACAGAGATGCTTCATGTGTGCAGTGACCTGTGTGAGTCCAGAGGCTTTGAGCAGCTCCTGCGGTGAGTGAGTGGCATGAAGAGAGAGAGAGCGCAGCAGCAGCATCCGGCTGTACACTTTATTACGCACCTGTCAATCAAACAGAAACAACCAATCATAAGAGACTGAACAAAAGAAGGTGGGAAAGTTACAAAATAACAACGCTCATTCACCAACAAATTTTAGTGTGAAATATAGTTGACTAAAAGCATAAAACAATTTTTGCTGCTTGAAATAAAACAAATATATAAAACAAATAAATAAATGTATTTTATTTCAGCTAGTTGCCAAAGCATTCAATTCAATTAATTCCTTCAATTATTAGTGAATGAGACTCAATGAGTGTGTTTACAAAAAACAAATATCAGCTCATTATAAAGCAGTTTTAAGAGTTTGCATGTAGCATTACGTTCATACAGGAAAGAGAAAAAGAAGATGCTGTAAGATTCCTGACCTCCTTCTTGAAGTTCAGGAAGTAGTTGGTCTGGTCGATGAGAAAGATCTCCAGAGCCGAGCGCCGGAGGTTGTACCTGCGCAGGTGAATCTCTCTGATCTGAGACAGAGGCCATTTAAAGTCCTGACCTACACCTGAAAATGAAGATCAGTATCATCTCTATCCTCAAACACTGCTAAATTTCACTGTACCAGTTTTTCCTCACCTTCCTCTTTCTCTGTGCTGCTGTCGTAGAAGTAGATGTGCTGTGTGGTGAGCTCCAGACGACCCGGATAGACGTCAACCACCGTGACCAGCTCACAGTCCTCTGAGATCACCAGCTTCTCCTTCTGACCCGCCTCTTCACAATCAGCCCTAAGAGAACCACAGCGAGTGTGTTTACATGCATTTTTTAAAAAGAAATTAATACTTTTATTCAGTGAAGATGCATTAAATTGATCAAAAGTGGCAGTAAAGAGATTTATAATTTGACAAAAAAATATTTAAAATAAATGCTGCCCTTTTAAACTTTCTATTCATCAAAGAATCCTGAAAAATCATGGTTTACACAAAAATATTAAGCAGCACAACTTTTTCAGCATTGATAATATAATCAGAAATGTTACTTGAGCATCAAATCAGCATATTACAATTTCTGAAGGATCACGTCACACTAAAGACTGGAGTAATGATGCTGAAAATTCAGCTTGGATTACAGGAATAAATAACATTTTAAAATATATTCACAGAGAAAACAGTTACTTTAAATTGCAATAATATTTCACAATATTACTGTTTTTAATGTAGTTTTGATCAAATAAATGCAGCCTTGTTAAGCAAAAGAGACTTCTTTCAAAACAATAAAAAAAAAACTGTACATGGAAATTGATAATGCAAAAAAAAAAAACATTTGACATGTTAATGTCAAAATGTAAACAAACTATCCCATTTAAACAGCCATGAATGCCTTTATATGCAATGAAAAAATTACAGGCGTAAATCATTATCAAATCTTTTAACTAAAATCTAATCTTTAATGGATAAAAAAAACATTATTCAAGGCGTTTCAAAGAGTTTACATATCCAGTTATTAAAGGGTTAGTTCACCCAAAAATGAAAATTCTGTCATTAATTACTCACCCTCGTGTTGTTCCAAATCCGTAAGACCTTCGTTCATCTTCGGAACACAATTTAAGATATTTTTGATGAAATCTGAGGGCTCTCTGACCCTCCCATAGACAGCAAGGTAACTACCACGTTCAAGGTCCAGAAAAGTACCAAGATGATCGACAAAGTAGTCCGTGTGACATCAGTGGTTCAACTGTAAAGTTACGAAGCTACGAGAATACTTTTTTGCGTAACGAAAACAAAAATAACGACTTTATTCCACATTGTCATCACGCCGGATCTGGGTCAGCGCCGGCGCCGCCACACGCTCGCGTCATGATACTGTCGTGAATGCGCGTCCACAAGTGACGCAGTAGAGATGAAAATGTGGAATAAAGTCTTTATTTTTGTTTTCTTTGCGCAATCCGGTACAGTTTACAGTTAACCACTGATGTCACACGGACTACTTTGTCAATCACCGTGGTACTTTTCTGGACCTTGAACATGGCAGTTACCTTGCTGTCTATGGGAGGGTCAGAGAGCCCTCAGATTTCATCAAAAATATCTTAAATTGTGTTCCGAAGATGAACGAAGGTCTTACGGGTTTCGAACAACACGAGGGTGAGTAATTAATGACAGAATTTTCATTTTTGGGTGAACTAACCCTTTAAGTAAAAGCGTGTTTCTGTATTTAGCTCCAGTGATTGGTTACTGCTCCTGTCCGTCTAAACTGAGACTCACTGATTGGCCGATGCAGGATCCTCCTCCAGGAGCTCCAGGATGTCATCCTCCAGATCATTGACCTTCACCTGTTTCACCGCCTCTAACAACAACGACTCGGCGTTTACCTGCTGGTGCTGCACACCTGAAGTAACACACACAAAACCAGTTATTTCTTATAAATGCCCACCACAAGATTTATAAAAGTTACAAGTGACCATTTTTAGGTGTGTATATCTTACCTAGGTTGTCTCTCAAGGCACTGGCTTCTCTATGGGGATCAAAGTTGTAATTCCGCACCAGTTTGAGTCGCATACGGGAGTAGTTCTCAGCGCTAGAGAGCTTCCAGTGCATGTCCTTCTGCTGCCTGCCAAACACAAACAGCTGCCTTAAACACCACATTAATTAGCACAATTCTCTCTTTTTTAAATTATGTTACATCCTGTCAAAAACACATTTGATTATATGATATGTGATTTACTGGTTATAGTAGATGTATACACCTCCACCTGCACAAACAGTATCCACTCCTGGTCTCAGTGACATTTACGGACAGAAACAACACTCACTTGTCCACCCAGGGTCCTCTCTCACAGAAGAGTCCTCTGCGCGCCGCCCTCCACTGCCTGAGGATGGCGCTGTTCTGCGTGTGGATTTGTTTCAGCATGCTGTTGTACCTCAGGTTCTCCTGACGCCCTCGACGGCTGAACGGTTCCACAAACTGCTCCTGAGGGTTTTTGAGGGAAACGAAAATGTTTGTGAATTCTACATTAAATTTGAACACTGCTGTTCAAAAGTTTTTGAAAATAAGTTTCAATGTTTCTGAAAGAAGTCTAATCTGCTAACCAAGGCTGCACTTATTTGATAACAAATACAGTAAGAACTGTAATATTGTGAGATATTATTACAATTTAAAATAGCCATTTTCTATTTGAACATATTTTAAAATGTAATTTATTTCTGTGATCAAAGCTGAATTTTCAGCATCATTACTCCAGTCTTCAGTGTCACATGATCCTTCAGAAATCATTCTAATATGCGATCCTGGACCACAAAACCAGTCTTAAGTCGCTGGGGTATATTTGTAGCAATAGCCAAAAAAACATTGTGTGGGTCAAAATTATTTCAGCTTTCAGATGATGTATAAATCTCAATTTAAAAAAATTGACCCTTATGACTGGTTTTGTGGTCCAGGGTCAGATATGCTGATTTGCTGCTCAAGAAACATTTCTGATTATTATCAATGTTGAAAACTGTTGTGCTGCTTCATATTTTTGTAAAATAAATTTTTTTTAGAAACCATACATATTTTTTAGGATTCCTGGATGAATACAAAGTTCAACAGATCAATTTCTTTTAAAAAAAACATGATACTGACCCCAAACTTTTGAACGGTGGTGTGTGTGAGTGTAGATGTTTTTGCACCTGAAAGCGTATCTTGCTCTCTCCTCTCTCTCGGTCCCTGCGGTGCAGATTGAGCATGAACGCCTCATAACAGTCCTTCCAGTAAAGAGCCATGTTCTCATGACCCTGACTGAACGTCTCGATCTCATATTGCTTCATGTAGGGAATAATCTGATAAAACAGATACACAAAATTCTGATTTACTAACTACAGGGTACAATGAAGAGCAGAAACCAACCAACTACTACAATGTATTAATAGTTAAACATATCAAAAATAGAAAATACGTGAGACTTCATCCAGCTTAAAATCACAATTGTCCCCATTTAGTGTATTAACACAGGTCTTACATATTTATCCAAATAGACCCTCCACTCCGGAGAGCTGCAGTACAGCTGGAAGTCCTCAAAGAAAGACGGGCTTCCGTTGGTGTCGGGGAGGGAAGGAAGGTGCAGCTCCATGTACAGGAGTTTGTGGACTTTAGACAGGAGGGTACGGAGGAGAGGCACTAAAAACGAGTAGGTCTCCTCTGTCCGCTCCTCGCTCACAGAGCGCCTGAGGATTCCCTCCACACGGCCCAGAAGATAACAGGCCTCGTCCTGAGAGTCCACCGTCTTCGTCTGCAAGATGCCATTCAGTTTGGCTGTAGCCATGGCACACACCTGCCAGAACGAGGAACAATGTGAATGAACTGAAGATTTGAGTACGTTTATGATTATTAATTCAAAAGTTTGGGGTTGGTAAGATTTTCTTAATGTTTTAAAAAGAATGCTCGCCTTTGTTTGATTAAAAAAAGTACAGTACAGTACAGTTTTATAGTGAAACAGTAACACTGTAATACTTTCAATTTGAATATATTTTAAAATGCAATTCATTCCTGAGATGCAAAGCTGAATTTTAGTGTCACATGATCCTTCAGAAATCATTCTAATAAGCTGATTTGCTGCTCAAGAAACATTTCTGATTACTATAAAAGTTGAAAACAGTTATTACTTAATTTCTTTGTGGAAAACACAAGATTCAAGATTTTCTGATGAACAAAGAACAGCATTTATTTGAAATAGAAAACAGTTGTAACATTGTAAATTACTTTACTGTCACTTTTGATCAATTTAATGCATCCTTGCTAAAACTGGGCCCAAACGGTACTGTATATCAATACCTAATATGTGACCCTGGAGCACAAAACCAGTCATAAGTATCACGGGTATATTTGTAGCAATAGCCAACAATACATTGTATGGGTCAAAATTATAGATTTTTCTTTCATGACAAAAATCATTAGGATATTAAGTAAAGATCATGTTCCATTAAGATATTTTGTAAATTTCCGACCGTAAATATATCAAAACTTAATTTTTGATTAGTATTATGCATTGCCAAGATCTTCACTTGGACAACTTTAAAGGCAATGATGTATAAATCTCAATTTCAAAAAATTGACCCTTATGACTGGTTTTGTGGTCACATTTGACCTTATGACCTCTCACCTGTGGGTCTTCCTGTGCCATGAACCCAAGCAGCAGCCGTAGCCCCACCTGAGACAGCTGAAGCCACTGCGTGCCAGAGGCGTACCACACCATCAGCCCGTCCATCAGAGTCACCGTCTCCTCCAGAACCTTCTCAGTCCACAGAGCGGGATTCACCAGCCCCTCAGCCTGCAGGAAGTCCTGCACCATGTGCAGAAGACGCACCGCGTTCTCCGTGTGCTGCGGCAGCGTGGCCGTCGTCGCCTCTCGGTTTCCCGTTACGGCCAATTCCAACATCCTCTCCATCAGGCTGTGGAGAAAGACATTAGCAAATGCATGAACAACTAGCTGTTCAAATCGATTCGGATGGCTCAAATTTCAGCAAGCAAAAATATTAAAGGGGTCATATGATGCGATTTCAAGTTTTCCTTTCTCTTTGGAGTGTTACAAGCTGTTCGTGAATAGATAAGATCCCTAAAGTTGCAAAGACTAAAGTCTCAAACCAAAAGAGATATTCTTTATAAAAGTTAAGACTGGTCCACGCCC